TAAATGAGGGCCTTGCTACTTGTTGGCTTTGTGGCTGTGGGCATATAACTTAACCTCTCTGAGCCTCAGTTTCCTCAGCTGTGAGATGGTCATAACAATAGTATGAAGAGGCCCTATCTCAGAGGGTGTTGGTAGGATTAAGTAAAATAATCTACAAAAAGCACTTAGCACAGTATCTGGAGACTTAAATATTAGCAGTTATACCCTGTTTCCCCGAAAATAAGACCTAGCCAGAAAATAAGTCCTCACATGATTTTAGGTGCCAAAATATGGCACCTTGGCATACTGAATATTTTAAGCTGAAGGAGTTTTTGGAAAAGGCACCCTTCTCCCTGAAACAGGTCATAACACCCTCATGTGAGGGGTGCGTGTCCTCCATATCCTGGAGGAATCATGCTACGGCTTCTTCTCTGACTAGGTCTTATTTTAGGGGAAACACGGTATTACTATTTCCAAATAAGTAAAATTTGCACTGATGAATGAGGGATGAATGGGGATGGGTGGAGATCAGAAAGCATTTCGGGGAGAAGCAACATATGCAAAGGCTCTGGGGTGAGATGCTGAGCTGAAAGCAGAACAATGCGGTGAGAAGCAAGGACCAGAGAGGTGGACCCGGCGTGGAAGGCCTGGAAAGCATCTGTGTCTTGAGGGAATTCGGTGTCGAGGGGACACAGGTGCACCCCTTTCTCCCTGGTGACCTGGTCCAGGGAGACAAGTCACAACACTGAACAGCTAGTGTGGTGTGGACACTGACATGCTGGACCAGCCCCACTTTGCCAAGCATTACCCTTAGTGCTGGGTTGTGAGGGGGTCTGGAAGGTTCCAGGGAGGGGCACGGGGGAGCTCAGCCCAGTCCTTTCCAAAAAGGTAACATCTTGGTGTAGCCAGAGTTGGCACACACGGCTGGGTGCCAGCCCTGCCGCAGCTACCTCTCTTAAGTGCATCTCCTTACCCTGGGGTCCATACCTTCCTGTCCTCCAAACTCCTCCTCCCAGGAAGCCCACTGGGTGGAGGAGACGGCAAGGGTCCTGCCTGAGGGAAGGCGTGCTCCCTTCCCACAGGCAACTCCAACCTGGTCTACGCCATCATCCGAAAGCGCAGTGTCTTCCACCAGCTGGCCAACCTGCCCACGGACCCGCCTGCCATCCACAAGGCGCTGCAGCGACGCCGCCGGGCACCCGAGCCCTTGTCTCGCACTGGCTCGCAGGAGGGCGCCTCCATGGAGGGCTCCCGTCCCGCGGCCCCCGCCGAGCCAGGCACCCTCAAGACCAGCCTGGTGGCCACCCCAGGTCTGGCACTGGCGGGTGGCAGGGGGGGGGTGGATACTGGCACGGTTGGGGGATGGGCAGGGTCTCTGGGGTATCGCCCCATCTCTGGAAAAGGAAAAGGCGTGAGTTGGAAAACTGAGGAGAGGGGTGGGGTTAGAGATATTGGGGGGCCCAGGAGGGAAGTTTCATGAGGGGACTAGGCCTCAGGCCTGGGTGTAGGCTCTGGGAGGGATGGGCGCAAGGGTGGGGGTATCGGGGGTCAGACACAGCATCTCTGAAGTGGGTGGAGGAAAGACGGAGCCTTGAGGGGGCCTGGCCCAATGGAGACGCTGTCTAGGAGAGGCCCTGGGCAGGTGTCCTCACTTCCACCTGGGCCCCTCCAGGCATTGACAAGCTGACGGAGAAGTCCCAGGTGTCAGAGGATGGCACCTTGCGATCTCTGGAGCCTGCACCCCAGCAGAGCTCAGCAGATGGCAGCCCAGCCGAGGAGGTGGGTAACAGGGACTCCTGGAGCGGGGTGCAACTAGGTGTTCCCTTTCTCCCTGGCCTGTGTGGTGTGTGCCCAGCCAGGGCACTCTAAGGTCACCTGCAGCAGAGGGGCAGACACCCAGGTGACTTACTGGCAAGGGGGCTTTCATAGACCCCTCCCTTGTTTGCTGGTCATGGGCTTAAGCCCTTGGCCTTCAGACCCATCCATCAGCCTTATCTGAGGCTGGGCTGGCCTTTACCCTAAACCTGTCACTGGGCTGGGCTGGGCTGGGCAAGGTCTGGGGCCCAGGGCAAAGGGTGCTGGGCTGGGCTGTCCCCTCAGTTGGGAGTGAGGCCCCCCCATACACAGCGGCCAGTGGGGAGAGCTCATTGTCCCCCCGAGTTCCAGGCTATGGGAGGGGCTGTGGAGAGGGGCTGCTTCTCTGCCCTCTTCCCCAGTCCTGTACCCATTCCTTTCACTCCTCACTCCATTCCTTCCCGGGGACCAGGAACCCGGCCAGGTGTGGCGGGAGCAGCGACGACTGTCCAGTGCGTCAGCCAGTGGGCAGTGGAACCCAACGTCGGAGTGGGTGAGGGTTTGGGCAGGTGGCACCCAGGTGGGGGCTGGGTCAGGGGCTCCTGGCCCTAGGAACAGCTCAGAAAAGGGCATGTGTCCCAATCCAAGGACTGGCCTGGGAGCCAGGCTCAGGGTCAGTCCTGGCTGGGTGACCTTGGCCTCTCTCTGGCTCGGTTACTTCCTCTGTCTACAGCAGGGTTAAGATTCAGTTACGCACAGCACTAACTTTCTTCATAAATTCCCCTTTCCAGCGTCCTTCCCTGAATCACTTGCTCGGTCCCTTATGTGTTTCCTAAGATCACAGCTAATGGCATTTGCATACTTGCATGGGGATAAAAAACATCCCCACCTGACCGTGCCATTTCGAGGATTCAACGGGACGGTGTCTGGCATATAGTATGTGCTCAGTGTGAGGGCACAGCTCTTGCCATAGTCACTGCTCACAGCCCCGTGCCGGGCCCTTGTTGCCATGAGCAGGGAAGCTTAGCGCCTCGGGGAGCCTGCAAGTCCTGAGTCAGGGGTCAGGCCTGTCCCAGCCCCAGGAACCCTGGCCCCTCCCCCAGGTCCTCTCCTGGAAGTCCAAGCTGCCGCTGCAGACCATCATGAGGCTGCTCCAGGTGCTGGTTCCCCAGGTGGAGAAGATCTGCATTGACAAGTGAGGCTGGGACGGGGTAGGCAGGTGGGCTCGGAGGAAGGGCCAGCCCCGGCTTGTGTGGGGGTGTGACCGGAAGCGTGGGCCTTGGGGGTCCAGGGTGAGTCCCCTGCTCCCCTTGACCTTCGTGGTGGGCTTCCCACGTGAGCAGGGGCCTGACGGATGAGTCGGAGATCCTGAGGTTCCTGCAGCATGGCACCCTGGTGGGGCTGCTGCCCGTGCCCCACCCCATCCTCATCCGCAAGTACCAGGCCAACTCTGGCACGGCCATGTGGTTCCGTACCTACATGTGGGGCGTCATCTATCTGAGGTGGGCCCCGCGGAGGTGGGGTGGGGCAGTTACCAGCCTGGTGGGTCTGGTGTCCACCTGAGGGTCTGTCCGACGGGGCTCAGCATGGGCCTCGGCTCTGGGGCCCAACCACTGTCATGGGGTTAATGTCAAGACAGTCAGTGAGGGTGGTCCTGTCTGACTGAGGGTGGGTGCCCATTACCTGGGGTGGGACAGCAGAGTGGGAGGGGTCTGGCCTTTACCACCCCCTAGCCTCTGCCCCACTCCCAGCACCCCGATGTCAGCCTGCTCCCTCCACAGGAATGTGGACCCCCCCGTCTGGTATGACACCGATGTGAAGCTGTTTGAGATCCAGCGGGTGTGAGGATGGAAGCCTGCAAGGGACAGAGGCCAGGGGAGGGCGGGGCCCTGGTCCCCACCCCCGTGCTGCCCCCGACCCACCATCCGTTCTGAGCTTTAAATTACTATGATCAGGTCTGGGGGCTGGCAGAGTGACCGAGTCCTGGGTGGCAGGCCCCAGAGACCCCTTGCGGCTGGGACAGTGGGGACTGGCTCTGACCTTCCCCAAGTAGCCCCCACCTGCCAGGAGCCTCAGCCGGAGCCCCTGCCTCACTCTGCCCACCTCCAGACTTCTGTCCTGACCCTCAGTGCCCGCCCACCTCCTCTGCTGCCCACCCCCAGAAGCCACCAGGTCACTGTGCCCTAATGGGTTGCCCAAGAGGGAGCTGTGAGGTGTCCCCTGGGCAGTTGGGCAGGGTGAGAGGGAGCCTGTCCAAGCTTCTAACCTGAAACCACCTGGTCCAGGCCTGGCTCCATGCCAGGGCCTATGGACGGCCAGGCTGCTTGAGGAGGAGGCTGGGGGGTGGCTGACTGCCAAAGTCAGACCCCGTGCGTTTTAGGGGTTTGGAGTGGGGTGTTGAGGGTCTCCTGCTATGTTCTCCCAGGTCAGTGAATATTGCCTGGCTGCCGTTTCCCCGGTTACAGGGGCAGCTGTTCAGTCCTCTCTGCCCTCACCCACTGCCTGGGTGACTGGTAGTGGGGGGGCCAGGATGCCAGCCTTCATCCTCCCCCTCCGTCCTCCTGGTTCTGGCCTCGGGCTCTCCCTCTCCCCACCTGTGTCAGTACAATCTTTGCTCTGTACAATCTGCCTCTTTACACAATAAACCCTCATCTCCACGTCGTGGCTCTGTGCTTGGAGAGGAGGGTCAGGCCATGGGTCTTGTCATTAGGGGAGCTTGGCATTCTGTCTCCCAGAGTCAATCCCCAGAGGACCTCCGTGTCTGCCTGGGAACCTGTGTTTGTCATTTTCCTGGTGGGGGGAGTGGAGAATTGGACCCTCTCACCCAAGGCTTGGCCCCCTGGGCTCTGGTCACCCAGAGAAACAGCCCACACAGGAAAGGTGAGGGGCCTACCTCTCAGCCTTCGGCACGGCTCCCAGGGGCTCTGCTGGCCCCAGGTAGTCACTGGGAGATCCTGGGGGTGTCCCTGGGGCCTTGGCTTTGTGCTTGCCAGTGCCCAGCTTCATGGGGGCGGGGCCCAGAGGCATGCAAAGCCCGCCTGCAGGCCCAGGGCTGCTGTCACCAGGCCTCGCCCTGGGTCTTATACTGGGCCCAGCCCACTGTTTGCACTGGGCTCAGGAAGATGGATGGGCTGACACGCTTGCCCTTTCTGCTTGATGGCTCAGAGGACCCAGCAGGCCTGGGGACCCAGCAGCCAGAGGCCACAGCCCCCATGGTAAGCCAGCTCCAGAAAGTCTCCTGGGGCCCTGTGTCAGAGAGATGGGGTGCCGACGAGGGTTGGAATTCACAAGCCGTGACCGCTCCCCATCTCATCTGGATCAGACAAGGCAGGGATTGGTTTAGACCCCTCCTGGACCAGAAACGTGACAGTCCCAGCCCCACAGCCATGCCCAGGAGCACTGTCCCTTCCCACCATACCCAGAGTGGCAGCTCTGTCCCTGGGAACAAATACCACGAAGCCGAATGTAATCAATCAAACAAACAGAGTTTATGGCAGCAGGAGAGAGCTGTTGAACCCTGCCTGGCAGCTAATTAATGAGCTCATTAGACTGTGTGGAGGGAGAGGGGGAGGGCTGCCCGCCCAGCTGCAAGCTTCCAGGATGCCCTGGGCCAAGCTTAGACAGTGTGCCCTTCCCCCAGCAGGAGGCAGATTCCAGAGCCCTGTCTGGGTAGGGGCGCCCCTCTCCAAACTCCCCAGACTTAGTCATTTAGGGCTGGTCCTCCCAGAGTAGCTGTGGGGGCTTCTTGGGTGCACTCTGGGCTGGATTGATGTGGTGAGCAGGGCCAGGCTTGTGCCCCTGAGGGCGTGGGCATCAGAAGCTGAGTGTCCAGGTTTTGCCCTTGGTCTTGGGCCGTGAACAGTGTTCCCATCCCACGCCCTTTAATGAGGCTCTAGGGAAGGGGAGGCTTCGGGGAGCCCAGGCTGCCCTAGGCCCCCCTGGAATGGGGCATCTCCTCAGAATCTCTGGGCTACATTTCCCCAGCCTTGGCACTTCAGGGTTCTGCTGGGGGTGGGTTCCTTGGGCATCCTCAGGCCCCCAAGTAGACCTCCACCAGCCCCCCAACAGAGTGCATGCGGTAGAAGACTCCCAGCGGTAGGCCAAAGTTGACGATGGCGAACCACGTCCGATAGCCATAGAAATCCTTCTCCAGTCCGTTCTCAAACTCCGGGTGTATGCCAAACGCGGGCATCATCCACAGCTGTGGAGGAGAGGGGGGTGTCGAGTGAGGGAGGGGTGCGCCCATGCCCTCAGGCACTCAGCTCAGGGGAGGCAGGCCCCAGACCTGCAGCCCCTCCAGCACATCCCT